CTTATTAATATACGTTGGGTAAGGGCAAAAACCGTTATATATATAATCAACATCTCCCCAACGCAAAAATACATCTTGAAAACAGTGCTGTTTAGTTTTTCATGTTTATCTAATTGGTGATCTTTATTCACTGTTCATTACACGGGGCCATGGATTTTCTTTGCACACAGGTAAATACAGGACTATTTTGTTTGACAATACAGGCCAAGAAGCAGTAGTATCCCCTCTTCTATTGTGGGATGTATACTTAGCTTTGTTTAATAATCTATTGTGATCTAAAACTCCCACTTTCTTTGTACGTTCAGCAGGATCTTGCGTGAAAATGAGATGCGCGTCTTGTATAAGAGCACTTTTTGGGTGTGCCTGGACACAGCCTTTTATATCATGATCCCGATGAGTTCAGTTGGCTGATTGCCACTGCTGTGTTGTGTATCAAGATTGCTTTCTGCCCTTTTAGCTGCACCAGAAGCAGGTTATTTCAGACTGCTGAAAGCAAATGAGTTTGGCAAAAGTCGGCTGGATTAGCAATCCAGGGTTTGAAACGGCAAGAAAACCGCAAATTAATATTTGTATTATTGCTCGTAATAACATTTGAAAAATATCATTTCAGAGACCTGGCATGTATAAGATCGCAGTATTTGGGATATTATTATTTTGGATTTGTGCTTTGGTCAATGTTTCTTTTAAAATCAGATGGCCCGTATTGTATCTCATGACTAAAGTGCCCGACACTTGATGAGTGATGCCTGGTTTCTTGAGTTTGATCCTGCACTATTCAGCCTGCGTCGCAGAGACAACTGAGGGCGCTGTGATGGAATGAGTGAGCTTGATGAGCTGCGCTAGGTCAACCATCACTAGATTGGTGTGACGTGACACCTGGAGACCGTGTACCAGCATCCTTTTCACCAGTTTTGTTGTGGTGAACTGTTTATTTGTTTACATTTTCATAAGCCGAGCTCTGTGTACTTATGACAATTGTTAAAAGTCCTCTGCCTCACACTACTGAGCTTATGAAGTGAATGAAGTTGAAAGTGATTGTAATCTGGTAAAGAAAAAGTGTTGACGTTATACTGTTAAACCTGATTTTATTTTGTATAGCGGCATTTGAGTACAATGACCAGCTGAGATACCAGAACTTAGCTTGAAATGAAATAGACTTTATTCTTGGGCCTTTTTCAGTCCCTTTTGGGCTGTCCAGGTCTATGCATAAAATATTTTGCTTGTTTGGTTGACTGGAATCTTGTTTAATTGAACCAGTGTAATGTCAATCACTACGTCAGTCAGTATGTTACAGTTTTATAGGCCAAAGTAAACTGCTGATAGTCTGGTTTGGTATTGGTTCCAGAAGAGTTAATAAGCCTTTTGCGAGTTAAATTTGAATAAAATCTGGTACACCGAGTTCTTTAAATTCACGTGAACATAATTGGAATTCTCCATACTAAAGCCACTGTTGCTATACCTCGTGATTCGGGGCAGGCTTTTGCTTAGTTACATAAGAGACGCCTTGCGTCAATACACTTTTCTCAATGGAAAAGAAGGGCACAAAGGAACCACTCCATTCCAGAGATGGTCGCCGCTAAGCAAAAGTTGGCAGTCTAATTTTTCATATCTTTCCAGTCAGTTTAAAAAAAAATGGGTACTTGTGACAGTTTGATTGAATAATGCAAGAAAAATATTGGATATCATTCTCTGATAAAAGAACAACATTAGAACATTGTGGGAGTATCTGCTCTCTCCCTTCACTTCTGCTGAACCAGGCTTGCAAATCTAACCATGCCAATCCGAGATGAAAACGTATTGTGTTTGCCCTATTCCCCACATTGAAGAGTGACTGATTGGGATGTCAACATGGAATCAAACCAACTTACTCGCATTTGCCCGGGGAGATGCACGATCCACCATTCTTACACTGACAGTTGGGGAGTCGAGGCAGGGGCGTGGGCTCTTCTTTAGCTGGAATACAGTAGAAGAGGGACGGATTATTGATGATTACAGTGACAGACTTGAAGAGAAGATGGCTTATTCATAATGTTTTTCATGCAAACTGTGAACCTGCTGCAAACACTTGTCTGTTTCACAATTTTTCCAAGGACACAGACGTACATTCAAAACTTCCCTTCCATATTAAAGTGTACAACTTTTGAAGAATTCCAGTTTTATAAAATTCTGCTTGCAAAGTATGGAAGAGAATTTACAACACACTGCACTAAATTTGATCCTAAAAAAATAGTGACTGGCATACATTATATTGAAGAAATTTATTGGATACTCCTTAGTCAACAGTTCAAACATCCTAATTCCATTTTTACCATGATGCAATATTCTGTGTGATATCTCACCATAAATCGATATTTCAATACAGTGATTTCTAGGTGCCCTACAGCTTCACAGGGTAGTTCCAAATTTAAGACGGATTCGTAAACTTTAGTTTGAAAGGGCTCTTAAAGTGATGCTATGGCTGTGAATGTGACTACAGCAGTATTGTGTGTGCAATAAATAAACTGGATTTAGGAAGCACAATGCAAGTAATAACCACCTTGCGAATAAACCCAAAGCATGGAGTATGGAAGACTTTGTGAGGTCAGCATTCATTCAAATTCTGACACATGCACTTTCTCTGACAGCTCAGAAAATTTGTTGACGTTAGCACTCACCTCCACTACAGGTGGAGGTACTGCCAGACTTAAACACATCCCCATTTGGACAGTCACACACGTAGCCATCGGTGACACGGTTTCCGGCTATCTGTGGTGTCAGGAGACAAAGGTGACTGCAGGGGTTCTTGTCACAGCGATTGACATCTGCAAATGGGAAAAAAAGTACCAAAACGACAAAGTAAATGTTTTGCACCAGACAAAAAAGATTAGCGGATCTAATTCATCGCATGCCACCACGACTGCCTTCACTGCCTCCTTTTCCAAGGCTTCACACCTGAATATTTCAGTTGTGGAAATTTCTACAAATGCAAATTTCTCTGGATCAGTCACTTGGATTAGCAGTTTGTCATCTCTAAGGAAGACAATCTATGTAATATCTATGCCACTATTACAGATTCAGCTATCCCTGTCATGTATTTGCAACATCTTGTTGGAAAATATCAGTTTCATTTTCTAATTTAAAAATAAAGAAACGTGTACATCCTGAAGACAATGGTATGGGCAGTTGTGCACTACATCAAACAATAGCCTTGTCTTAGGCACAATGTGTACTGTATAGTTCAAAGGTCACAGCAGTTGCCTTAAGAAAAGGCTACCCGAGGTAAAAATACTGTGGAGGCTTGTTTGAGAACTACTGAAACAATGCAGAACTACTGAAACAAGGACTTGATGACAAAGCTGACTCTGAACAAGATTTATTTCAGTTTTTATAGGAGCCCACTCACAGTGGTTGGGGTAGCGCTGCTCTTGGCGCACCACCAACCCGCTGGGCAAGTTGATGTCCCTGATGAGGGTGGTGGGAATGCCGCGGCCAAGCTTGTCCAGGGTCAGAATTTTGCCAGAGAAATCAATGGGCTCGGTGGTGATGTGCAGAAAAGAACTGAAGACCTCCAGTTGGAATGGATGCTCCAGATCTGAGGAACAAACCACAAGCAGGCAGTGTCAAACCATGGGACTGTTATGGCATTACGTGATGTGAGAAAAACAAAATACTGACTTCTGTAAGGTGCACTGGGAAAAACAGACATCAACTCCAAAACCTTTGCTTAATTTGGGCACGTACAGTCTCCTCGCTTGAGGAGTTTGCGCTGCTCTCCATTCCAGTTCATGGACTCAATCCTGTTCTCCTTGTTGTCGCAGAAGTAGACGGTGCCGTAGTTGGCAAAGTCGATGGTCAGACCTGTTGGATTGGAGACACCGTCAGAGACCAGCACACTCCGCGACCCGCCATTCATCCAGGCTATCTCAATTTTGGGCTCGGTGCCAGTGTCAGTCCAATACAGAACGCTGTTGCCAAGTTTGAATTAAAAGAGGATGATGGATGAGGTTTCAAAGAGCTAGAATGTGAATTGATTAAACTCTGTAATCTTCATTCTTATTTAAGTATCTGATCAAAGCACCATGCATTATTAGAATCAAACCGAGGAGTATAGTGTAATTCGACCACCAGAATTAGAAGCCATTACTGCGGTGGCACAATGCTCATGGACAGGTGGTACGCACGCATTACATGCCTCTTCGACCAACAGGGTGTAGCGATTTGGCAAATGCACGCACGCGTCTAGCTGAAGAATGTGCGTGCGAGCGCGGCGCCACTGCAATTAGGGTGTCTAATCAGATTAGTCTATACTGCTTGATGCTGTCATATCAGACGCAAAGGGCTATTGCCTTTGTATTGCCTTTCTAAAGGGCCTGAACAAAACTGGTATTAATGGGCAATAATCCATTCTATATACATTACACATTACAGTACATTACAGTGTGGGGACCCTTCATGGCATGGATATACACTTTGTCCAAATTACTTGTCTGCGGCTTGAAATTACATGTAACTCTATTGTAAGTGGTTGAAGCCAAAACCCTTCACCCATACAAAAAGTCAGGCCAAAGCCAAGTAAATTTGAACATGGCAATACCTTTGATGTGAACTAGTATACTTTTCACTACACTGCTATGGTGTATTTTAAGCCTTAGTATTTCTTGTTTTGTTTTGCATTTTGATTGAAAAATATTTGTTCTTGCAAAGTTCATAAAATAACCTTAAATTCGCTCTCACCAAAATTAAGAACGATAGTATGTCTCAACCCCCAGTCCAAAATTTGGAGATACATCCTCCCAACGCCCCTTCTTGGGATTTATGCCCCTTGTGATTCCCACTTTGGGAAGAGGCTTCAAAGCAACAACCGCTAAGTGTCAAAGACTGTTAGATGTTTTTGGTTATTGCTAGGGTCTGTTCATGCACAGAGTTTGTGCAACTGGCCGCTAAGGAAAAAAGTGGACAGACTCCTAAAACTGAACTGAGTTGTAGGTATACATAATGTATGCATTCTTTTTCAAAGGCACAATGGGAGCACAATGCTACATCACACAGATACAATCTAATGTGTCAGGAAAAACAAATCGCACATAATTGCACTTCTCTCTACACCAATTCATCGTATTGCTGAACCCTGAGAAATAGACATCCAGTTAGAGATGTCTTGATGTGAGTTGCATAGCGCAAGACTCACCCACGAACGGGATTGACAGCAATGGCGGTGGGTTTGTTGATGGCAGTGGTGATCAGGTCCTTGGAATAGCGGCCGTCCAGTTTAGCCACGGCCACGCGCGGACTTGTGGAGGAAGAAGCCTGTCGTCTTCTTCGTCCGGTAGGGACTGTCTTGATGCCAAGATCTGTCCAATACACATTCCTGTGGGGGGGGTTATTCAAGAAGTTTAAGAGTTTTGAGAAATTTAAGAGTTTTTCTTAGGCTTCCCACAGAAACCTGAAAAACAAATTCCAGGACTTTTTCAGCAATAAAATTTATATGACAATTTCCGTGACATTCAACACCATTTTAGAGAAACAAGTTGTTTGGTATTATGAACTGGAAGACTGCTATAGCCATTGCTACAGACAACCTGAAAATTTTTCCATTTTGTTATCACATCAAAAGCAACCCTTTAAAAATAGCCCTTGCACGATCTTGATTTCCATGACTTTTCCATCACTTTTTTCCTATGACAACAGGATACCAGGGCACCCCATTTTCCCCAACATCTAGTTTCCAAGATCTGTCAGAATTGTGCACCAACATGGATATGAGAAAAATAGACTAAAAATAAAGGCAGTTTGAGTTGAATCTGCTATACCTCGCTATCCCATACCTGCAGCCGATTTCACAAAACCTGGCATACGTTTGAACCGTGCGTAAGCCACGTGCCACAAAATATATGCCACAGCTGTGCAGTGTACTTACATGTACTGTCGATTTCCTAAGTTGAGGAGCTGCACCACATTTTAATAGCATTAAATTTCTGGGATGGGGGGGGACAAGAACAGCTTTTCAATTGAAATCACTGCTGGCTGCCATTTTGAAAAACTTGTTGTCCTTTCCTCTGAAAATCTCGCAGTTCTCTCACAGCCAAACAAGTTTTCCATTACCTTCAATAAACGAGTTTGTACGTTTTTCATACAACCTTAGTTCAGCAATGGTGAGGCTTCATCAAACACGATAAGCCAGTCAAATTGTTCGTTTACACTTCGTTTGGCAAAACTTATGCTACCTAAAATGAATGCGCAAGTTATGCCATGATTTGTTGCTTAAGTCACAGACTTATGCAGTAAGTTTTGTGAAATCACTTTTATGTGAGCGTTTTACAATAGTGCACCTCCAAGAGTTTGCAACGTGTTGGCCAATCACAATGCAGGAAACTTGTCGACCCAATGTTCGTATTGGTTGCACAACTTACACAATAAGTTTTGTAATTCCGTTGCACATATTTTGAAACTGCTATTAAGACGTTGATTATGAGTGCTACTTTTCAAAACCCAAATTTGTGTTAATGCCCTTTAATAGCATACTGGCCTGCATGCACTGAGCACACATCTATTGAAAAGTAGTCATTTTAAAAAGACTGATCTGTGTTAGAAAAATGGGTATTTTGCAGGAATGGTATTCAAGTTTTTCGTAAAACTGGTGTCAAGATTATTAGAAGACACTCCCACAGGTTCAGGATGAAAAAACATGAGATGGTATCAGAGGAAATTTTGGGGATGGGTTTTCAGATTTGGCTCTTTCAAGGTTGGGGTTGAAGGGTTGTATGTTGCCCATAGACTGATCTATTAGGCTCCACCCTTGTCTTTTGACCAATCATAGCTGTGATTGATGTCTGACATACGAGGACATGCAAATGACATGCATGGCTGCTGGAGAGAACCATGTTTGAACGTCTGAAGTGGGCAGGGCTAATTGGATCTATCTTATGCTAAAATAGTTACGACTAAACTTAGAAAATGCTGGGTAGGGTTGAGAGTTTTGAAGTCTGCTATTTAGTCAGGAGTTTCCTTCTCACCCAGCAATCCAATCCACAGAAATGCCCTGAGGTCTGTTGAGATTGCTAATGGTTTTCTGTACCACTGCCAGTTGGTCTTCGTTGGCTGGGAACCGAGCCCTTTTGATGGCACTGTGGGCAATGTCCACCCAGTACAGAGCATCTGAGGATGAAACCACAGATCAAACCACAGATAAATGGTTAAGCCGCCACTTACGAACGCCATAATCTAACAATGAAAATGAGATTTATTACAGAAGGGTACAGGGTCCAACCAAGAAATGTCAAAGAAGCATGTGACTATACCATTTGCCCAATATCAGTCATTGTTGCAGAACATGCAAGCATTTGGACTGCAGCTGTATGTCGTCGTGTATTAGAAGTAGAGAGTGACAGTATGGCACAGAAAGCCTTTGAAGCTCAGGCCTGTTGCCTGACCTGAGACGGGGGGGGTTCATCAAACACGAAAGTGGAACTTTTGGTACTGTGAATACGTATTTTTATACACATGCCTATCATAATGTCCTTTTCAACAAGTCGCATGTTTGTTGCAAACCGAAGGATGCATGTAAGACTTGCATACTTCAGCTTTCAATATAAACAGAGGTGTCAGAAATTGGCCTGGTATTAATTTGGCTAGTCCCCCAGCACCCTGAATCAGGTACTGGCTGTGTAGCGAATGATATGAACATTATTATTAAAAAATCTCAGAACATTCCACAAAAAATTTCAGACATTCTATAAAATTGATAAATTCTAGTAAATAATTATGACCTCCAATCACCTAACTAAAAATTGAAAGAAAAAATATGTGTACATTTTGGGGTGCATTTAAAAGAGTTCATTTTGCACTTTGGAAAAAATATGAAAAATCTGGCAAAAATAAAATTTCATCGGAACTTTGTAGCGGATAAATGAAATCTACATTTATGAATTAGAATATTTGGAGTTTGATTAGATTTCACCTTTCATGAGTTTGGAGGTAAAATATTGCTCCATACAAAAATTGCTAGAAGCCCAGCATTAGGGTCTGCGCTACTGTTGGGTAACGGAATCTCCAAGTGTATGTGATGCAGCACATGAACGAGTGTTGTCATTTAACCCAAACTTTCTCAAGTCGGCAAAATTACCAATTTTGGCATGCTGGATTAGTGTCCTTGCTGGGTGGGCCATCTGGCAGTTCTTTCTTATTAACAGTTTACCAAAGACCAGTACAATAACTAACAACATGGATAATACAGACAAGACAAAAACGAACAGACATGCCACATGATTTGTGAGGTGTGAGTGGTACCTACGGTACATTTACAAGTCTATTCATTTCTCTTTGGACTGGTTTCCTTCATTTCCAACCTGTCACTAGAGCCAATGTAAACAGCAACCAACGAAAACATGACTGCGCTGCCCCCGTGCCCAGAGCACTGTTCTGCTTGCATGCATGGCCAGGCGGTGGTGGCGGCCTGGGTAAGGCTGCACTGAGCTAAGGCATGGTGACGCGTTTAGTGACTGATTTCATTCTTCAAATGTTACCGTATAAGCCGCCCGGAGTATAAGCCGCTGGGACATTTTTCTTTGTTGGAATTAATGTGTAAGCCGTGACTTGTACTCCGAAAACTATTGTATATCAAGAATATGCATTTGTTGTTAAAAACCCCAAAACACCAACGAGTGGAACTCGGAAGCGAGTGGGGGTGGGGGATTCGTTAGAAACCCCCGAACCCCTCAGCCTACAGATCTAAAGCTGTGGAGAAAAGTAATTACTGCGATGTGACTTGCCCAAGAACACAAAATGATTCCAACCAACCTTGGCCCACATTGTAATCAATGTCCTGAATCAGGCCCTGCTCGTACGCAACGGCAGTGTATTTCTTGGTATTGTTGTTGTACCTACGTATGTCACTGCCGTCACCAAAAACAAATGTCGGTTGGTCACCTGTACAAATAACAGAAAAATACTTTTCCTTAATTTTTAAGTTTTGTCCTACCTACATCAAAAACTGACAGTATAGATTTCAATTTGAAAAAGTCACAGAGTTCACATCTTAAGTCATCAATAGCTTATCAAGCTTATAATGATTATTTATACAACTGAAAACATTTACAGTACCAATTTCTAATAAGAAAGACAACCACTGTGAACATGTTGCATCCTGCTCCACAGAAATATACTCAAATATTCTCAAGTGAAACAGGAATTTAAAATCTCTGCTAAAATCAGCTATGAAGGTTTCATACAGTTAAATGCATCCAGCGGTGAAAATAGAGGATATTAAGCTTAAATTTCCTGGCATTTTGACTAGCACTTGGATATGTTAAAAATCTATGATAGTGCAGTCATCCAGAGGCAAATTCAGTGTACAGTACAATGCCGCTTTCACAAAAATATTGGGGTTCACACAGAATGTACAGCTATTTTCAGTCTTTGATTAACCAATTCCTGGCTCCAGCATGCTTAAAACGTGTGGCCTGCCTCACGAATGTGTCTGCTTGAGGATGTTTGGCAAGTTTCTAACTCATATGCCCCAAAAAAGTGTTGAAAAAATAAATGACATCAACATTCTTGTGTTTTGTTCAATGTAAATTCTTATCCCTCCACATTTGACCTTTCACGTAGTTCTAACTGGAAGTCAGATTGCATAGTGAAATCAAGTTTTCCCCTGACTGATAGCTTAAAATTTGCATGCAACTCGCAGTTTGGTTACACTACTTTCTGCTGCTACACTGGAACTTGGATAGGCTGAGAACCATTCCACAGCACTGGAACCACATTATATGTTCCAGTCGGCAACTTGAAAAAATGCCAGCTGGGGCAAGCTGTGTTGAAAACAACCGCAGCTAGAAATTTAAAAAGTATTTAAAAAAAAAAGTTACATCACAATTCGCAGATGATCTTGTTTTGTTAAGCAATTGTTTAATGTATGTTAAAAGTGTATGGAAAATTCAGGAGCCAAAGGAAGTGATGGGTATACCCAACTGTAAGGCAGCATTCGGAATAGTGGTTTGTACTGTATTTAAACAAATTTTCAAAAAAATTCTAAATTGAGTGTTGGGTTTAGGTTCTTGGTTTCCAACCTGCCATACTGAAATGTCGCTGTGTTCCAAACAAAGACATAAGGCACGTTTTGAGGATTTTCATAAACGTTAAATTACACAACTAGGCTTCGAAGGCACTATTCATATTACAGTCCGCTTGGAAATATGTTTGTAACAGTGTTTAATGCTGGCGTCATCTATTTTCACCATCTAAATCTTGCATTTATAAACCATTTACAATGCCAATTTTGCTTTTAAATTCTCCAGCCTATTGCATTCTGCCACTCTGGTATTGTGCGGTGAGTGCCACTCATGGGCAGAAATGGACTTGATGCCTTCCAGCTGCATTTTGTATTGGGGAAGTGCTTAAGTTGGTCATCCCAGGCCTCACGATGCAGCCTGCATTGTCAAAGATCCCGGGAATGGGAGGCTATATCCCCCAACTCTTTGACAGGGTGGGAGGATTACCAATATATGTATTCCTCCAACTGTACTAGTCACTGACTATGCCCACCTTAGCCTGCTCCACCGTACTTCGCACTTGCTGCCGTCACAATCTCACCGAGGATGAGGGCTGTGCTGAGCTTTCAGAAATCATCCCCCCACATTTGACAAAAAATCTCTGCCCATGGCAACCTGCAATCATTTTTCTGTAGGCTGGGAGGAACTGGCACACTCACCATCGGCCTTACAGTCCATTCCCCGTGTACCCTTGTCAAAGTACCCCGGAGCACATTGGCACTGGTAGCTTCCTTTGATGTTGTTACATAGTTGAGGGCATGGGTTGCTCTGACATTCATTAATATCTGCACGAATGAGAAAAGACAGCTGAACATAAGGTGCCAGAAATGCTACTTGCCCATTCAAGCCTCACCCGCTTGCGGCCGGGGTTGCCAGTACTGGACACGTATTCTTTACACGCGTAAAAAATTAAAAATTCATCATTTCAATTAATGGACGTTTACACTCACATGAATTACTGTCTGGTGGCCACTCTAGTCTAACAGAAAAAATCTACTGACGCCTGAGTATTTCAGCTAGGCCTGCAGCCTTGTAAAAAGAGCCCAGATTGTGTGGTGTTATGTAACTTTCTTTTGTTCACGAACCTAGCGCAGTGCGCTGCTAACATCTTTTCAATAGGGACCAGATTAGCGTGCAGCAGTGCTGTGTGGCTCATCGCTGCGGTGGTGGGGTGTTTTTGTCCCCGGTGGTAATCCGCTCGCACTAAATGCCCCAAACCGTGGTATACTGTTTCAAAACACGGCTGGATTATCTCCACTACTGGTCTTTTGTTCCGAGTACACTCTTTTGTTACAAGGCCCAGTTCCCTTTTGTCCGATTTTGGAGACCCCCGCCATGCGTACAAGCACACGGTGCCCGAAACCAGAGTCCCCGGTGGCAAGTGGATAACCCCTTCGCAACGGGATTCTTCTGACTGCGACTGCTAGGCTGCGGTATGCCCAGTATGCAAAGCTCTGTCCAGCAGCAGGCCCCATTGAAACAGCAGCTGCACGGTGAATAGACTGTATGTGTGGTATGCACTAATCCTCACACAAAGCTTCGGCAGTAGCAGTCATCCGTAGCAAAGGTATTAAACTCGATGCGCGGTCTCTTCCAGCCCCTGTAATTTTGGCCTGAAGCCCTGCCTGCTGCAAGAGCTGAGAACCGTTGTACGTACCTACACAGGTGAGATGGTCGGGTCCTAATTCCAAGCCCTCAAAGCAAGCGCAGATGTGACCCCAATCAGTGTCTGTGCAGTTCCCCTCACAAGTTGATTCTGCGCATGGACCATCATCTGCAAACGTTGATGTAACAGTGTTGTAACCATCATGTCACAATTTTTCCTGCGAATCTGAAGTCTCTTAACTGGATCAAGTCTCAAGTTAACAAGAGGACTAAAATCCATACAGAGGAAAACTGACCAAGAGCTTACATGACCATCTACAAAGAAAGTGTGTGAAGTTGGATCTGAGTCCATCAGCTCAACAACAATGTTCAGTGAAAAGGCACAGAAAATATGGGAGCCGAGGGGAATGTTGATTGCCGTCGGTATTTGCAGTACATTGCAGTGTTCCGACTACTGTCACTGGCGCACACGTGTATGTGTCTCTGATGCTGCTTTTTCGTAGTGAGATGCCCTTTACTCTTTAGTAAATGCTTCTTCTGTACTTCCCGGGTGAAGAAAGAATAAAAAAAAACCTCCAACATGCAGAAAGAGTGCTACCTACTTTTCCCACTAAGACTGTGTTCGATTTTGGCTTTCCATTTTTCCCACCTCCCCTTTCCAAGCCATATGCACTTACTGCATCCTCTTTCGTCAGCCGAGTCCCCGCAATCATTGTATGCATCGCAGATGTAATTCCCCGGGATGCATGCACCGCTAGGACACTTGTATTGGCCGGGCAGGCACTCCACAGGGGCCTGGCAGAGGTCGTGGTTATTCTCGTCGCTGGCATCCCCACAATCGTCCACCTCATCACAAGTCTTCCACTGGGGGATGCAACGGCCATTGTAGCACCGGTAACGGGTGCTGGTGTCGCACTCTCGTGTGGCTGTGGGAGTGGGAAGGAGGGGTTGGCAGGTGGTGGGGAGCGGGTGGGGAAGAAAGCAAAGAGCAAACAGAATCAAACTCAACATTAACTCTCCAGGTGCTGTGTGAATTACACATAGGATCTTGCAGCATTTTGGCCTAGTTAAAGAATTATTAAAGTGCAAAGCACCTTCAGGAGAGACGCTCAACTTACACATGAATGGTTTTACAAATAAACCTTTTGCTATCAGTGATATTTACTGGCCATTAAGTTTTTTTTCCTTGTCAATGCATACACATATGTTCAGCAACTCAATATTGTGTAGCCTACCATTGGAAGTAGAAACCTAAATTGGCAGCTTCCAATCAATACCTCCTTCGCACAACTAATCTTGCTTTGGGACATGTGCAAGTGACTATTTCATGTTCAGGGATTTGCTCTATTTCTACTGAATCAAGCAAGGTGGAATAAATTGAAAGAGCAAGTAAGAATCAAGAATTTACAATGCATTTTTATGTTATGTACGATGAGAAAGATATCCGGGAGGTGCTCAAGAATGGTGTATTGTGAGTTGTGCATGACCATGTAAATTGCTGACTTCTTGTCGCATGGCCGCTGACTCCGGATCCTTGACGATATGGATTTGCTGGCAGAGCCTATCAAACACCTTTGCTGGGAATGACTATTGGATGCCATGTAAAACAATTCTGCTATTGAGGACATTTTAATTAATAGTCAGACAGAAGGCCAACTTGGCACAAGAGCTTCTCCGTAACACCTGGCTCAAATGATGCTAACACTTTACAGATGGAGTTACATTTGAATTCAGAAATTTTCTTATTGTGGTACAGAACGGCAGCCCCGTAACAAAAACATTTTAAAAGGTGGCCAAAAATTATTTTGCACACTTTCTTTAAATCCTATTTTATGCTCTTTTATAATTTTTTTCTGGAAGAAGAAGGGAAGGGGTAGTGTTCATTTGAAAACATTATGAGAAAAATGAGACAAATTCTGTAATTTAACAAGCACTTATGACAACGTAAAATGTTAGTAAACTACATAAGTGACCTCTAAAACATTCAAGTGGAGAAAGCATCTCAGAAATGTCGAGAATGTTGGCAGCCCTTACCGCAGATGCTCAGAAGTTCGTCGCTCCCGTCACCACAGTCATTGTCCCCATCACAAACCCAGTCTGTCCTGATGCACAAGGTGTTGTTGCAGGTGAACTCGGAGGCAAAGCAGTAGAGGCCGCCAGGAAGCCGAGTCGCTGAAGGAAAAACAAATCATGAGTTTTTACCTTGAACCATTTAAAACCAGGGTGCTGGTTGGATATAAACAGGATACACTTGACTCTTTTTTTTTTGGGTCCTTGAAACAGGTCACAGTATTTTTCCGACAGATATGGGCTTTGCAAATTGGAATAACATTTAATGTCTTATTCTGAATGTGATGCAGAACTTGAAGCCGCCCAAGTCTGGAATGTCTAGTTTTATAGTGTTTAACACTTGTATTCATGAATTAGCACTTTTTTTCTGCACCCTGCATTAAACAATCAACAAAAACGTTCTCATTTTATTCAACTTGTTTTCACCCTGGTGTCAAACCACACACAAGACTTGTTAAGAATTGGAACCAAAAAGTGATTTGATTGCTAAAAAAGAAGATGGGAAAATTGTGCCCTTATCTGGACCTTTTCAAGGAAAAAGTCTCATTTAGGGCTAGATGTAAAAGGGAATGCATGCATGTTTAATTACGAATTCATATTCTGAGCACAATCTAACCTGTGAAGCAACCTATGCTTAAATGAGAGCCAGGCATATGTAACAGGCCAAGATTGAGCTAATTTTGTAGTCATTTCTATAACCCTAACCCCCCAAGGGTTGCTGGCCCTAACCTTCCCCGTTCACACAAAGTTAAAAACCCATATGGAACTTTCTGCACAGAGGCTGTTGGACTTTGTTTTTCTGAGGTATGCCAAAGCCAGCTGTTATGGGCCTACCAGACCTATCCCCATAAAATTAAACACTTTACTACCGTTAAATTCTGTGTGGTTGGGGAAGGTTAGGGTCAAAACATCAGTTTAAGGAATCTAATTTCATGACACCTTCATGAAACAACTTCTTGTGCCAACCACCCAGAATATCATGAAAAAGCCATCTCCATTAAAGTGAGCAGCTGAGTGCCAACTTACGGCAGTTGATTTCATCAGAGTAGTCCAAGCAATCCCGGTCCCCGTCGCACAAGTAGTTCTCATTGATGCAGTGCCCACTGGTGCACTTGACATAGCCCTCAAGACACTGGTGATTGATGCAAGCCAGCTCGTCGCTCATGTCACCGCAGTCGTCGTCGTGGTCGCAGACCCAGCGAGTCGGAATGCACTGCTGCGTGGCACAGCGAAACTCTGACTCGCTGCAGCTCCGGAAGGGGCAGTCGGCTGACTCGTCCGACCCGTCATCACAGTCCAATTCAAAGTCACAGTGCCAGCGCTGCGGGATACACTGGTGGTTGCTGCAGCGGAACTGGCCCGGGTCACACGTACGTTCCTCACAGTTCTCCTCATCACTGTTGTCCCGACAGTTGTCGTAGCCATTGCAGATGGCCCAGGATGGGATGCAACGGTAGTTGGTGCGACATGATTCCCAACCAGAGGGGCATGTGACTTGCTCTACGCAAGAGAAAAATATGTAATGTTGAACCAGGAGACAACAGAGAAAGAAACACTCTTTCAAATTTGTTGTCCACAGGCAAGTTGGAGTGACGATTTGAGCAAACTATAGTTCAACCATCACTGCCTGAACAATGGATGGTTGGACTATCTACATGTAGTCAACCCATTTGAGAGCCTTCAGGTCCTTGGGGCTTAGTTACATTGCCTGCTGTCGACAGCTGATGGATATATTAGGCTTGAGGGGAATCATTCAAACAAAATATTTGTACAAACTTTTTTTACAAACTAAAGCAACTAGGGTTGTTCGAGAGTGACTGTAATGCATTGTGTGGATCGTTTACCGTTTCTTCATTTTTAACTCTTCAGTAGTTGTTAAAATTTAATTTCATTGTAATCTGTTCCAATCAAGTTTGAATATTCTCTGTTGTTTTTCTGTTCTGGATCTGATCTGATAAGCTAGCATCCTGGAGGTGATTTGTATTAACAGTCTGGCTGCTTACGACACTCTCTGTGGGGCTCATCACTGTTGTCACCGCAGTCGTTGTCAAAATCGCAGCGCCAGGCTTCAGGAATGCAATAGCCGTTATCACACTGGAAGTAGCCTGGAGAGCAAGTCCGGCTCTCTGCAGAAAAAACGAGTGAAATGGGGACACCAAACCTCATTACTGCAATTACTCGCATGTACTGCAATGCAACACCACGAGTTAAAGTCTAGAACTTTCCACATTTTTTGCACTGTTAAATACTGACCAATTACTCTGCACATTTCGCTACTTGAGTACTGGTAGATTTGACCGATTCGTTAGATTTTGACTGGTTTGGATTTCCGCAAAAATGCGGAAACATGTTTGAGGAGACAGGAAGGATGTGATAGTGTGGAAAATGTGACATCATAGCAATGCGTGACATTCTGCCAGCTTGCACGGTGGATTAATTTTCTGTTCTGTTTAAAGGGTACAAGTGGGAAAGTGCAGCTATGTGCTTAGCTATAGAAGAAAAGGTCCAATGGGAACACAGCTTTAGTTCGAGCGTATCACTCAGTCCAGTATCCCAATGAAAATGGACTCTGGGAGAAAGATATTTGGGTGAAAGAGCATGCCTGGTGCTTTACACTGTGTGAGAACTTTTTAAGGCCTCCAACTCCAAAGTGGCTCTGATGACATGAAACTCCATTTCACTGAGCAGGCCACCTATTTAATCTTTTAATTTTGAAATTCGTTTTGAGGGCAACGTACGACACACTTCAGCATTCTCATCCGAGCCATCTGGGCAGTTGTTTCTCTGATCACAGACTTGGTTGTGTAGGATGCAGTTGCCTGTGCTGCACCGGAACTCCCAGGCCTGACAGTGGGTCTGGTCGCACATGGGTTCATCCGACCCGTCCCCGCAGTCGTCCTCTCCGTTGCACAGCTGGAACCCAGCCACACACTGCAGGTTGTCACACTGGAAGTAGCCCAGATCGCAGTGCCGGACTGGACAGGAAGGCAGCTCATCTGAGCCATCGGGGCAGTCGGCCTCCGTGTCGCACTTCCAGCTGAGTGGGATGCAACCACTGTTGTCAGCACAGCGGTACTCCAGCACTGAGCAGTTGGCCAAGCAGTTCTGCCCATCGGTCGACAAGATGAAGTTGTCCGGGCAGGTGCAGGTGTACCCTCCTTCAGGGGCCAAGAGACAAAGATGAGAGCACCCGCCATTGTTTGATCCGCATGGGTTGACAAGACCTAGGTGATACAAAACAGAATGACGTTTGAAACTTGGTAACAGGTGTGAAATCCTTTTGTGTAGCACTGTGAACTGCTCCAATTACCTTACTCAATGTTAGAAATACAAATATTTGGTACAACCTTCACCAAAGTTACTCAGAAAGCACCGTGTATTCAGTACACTGGTGTTAACAAAGATTGTATAGCGCCGCTACACAGCGCCAGATGGATAATTTGACCTAATAGGTGTTATCACCACGGGCACCATTCAAGTGTAAACGTTATTGTATACGCACAGGCATAGTGTGTGCTGCTCCTACACCTGTGCATTATCATGCACTGCGCCGGAGCAGTCCAACCCAAATGGCGTCCATGCGATAACAATGCTTTACACCCATTCACGGTGAAGTTCCACATCTTGCGCCACTGTGCCACGCTATAAGATCTTTGATTAACAATGAGCAGCTACTACATCACCAACTGTCGTAACCTGTCAGCAATGACATAGACAGCAATGACATGTCACTTTCTGATACGCCCTAACTTTTTATACTTCAATCTGTGGCGCAAGTGATGGTATATTCACATTGACATCACTTGGTCAAAAGTCCATCAAGAGTTACTGGTTTCATTTTGCAGTACAAACTGCTACAGTAGACTGGAACTGCCCAGAAGTCCCATGGGAAAGGTGTGGATAGAGCCCATAGACGATGTTATTTAATTTCAACATCAAGTAGGATGAGGACAAGGTTCAGCTTTAGAGGTGGGAGAAAAATGCCAGGTGCATATTCCTTAGAAAACTCACAAAAGTTTGGAAGGAACTGAAAATCAGATCCATATGTCTGCCAGGATGGCATTTGAACCTGGGTCACAGAGTTGGAAGGTGGGAAAAGTACCACTAGGTCTCACAACTGGTCCCTCCTCTTTGAAAATCATTCCCCTGGCAGTGTTGGCAGCAGCAGAAATGCTGAAATTGGTCCTGTTGCCGGGTGAACAGGGTAAACAGTAACACCATCCCAAGAAGCAGTACTGCTGGATAAGGTTACTTTATAAACAGCCATAATTATCATGAGACTCACTCTGATCCTGGCGGAGTGGATGGAGGACGTGAATGTCAAATGGTCGGTGTAGCACCTCTCTCATCATGGTCCTATTGGCCCCCGTGGACTTGTTGGCCCGGAAGATGGCTCCATGGTCCCAGTCCGTCCAGTAGATGTATTCCTCAAAAACCGACACAGCATATGGGTGCGCCAGCTCCTCACCGGGGAGCTTGTGAACATAGGAGCCGTCCATATTGGAGAAGCTAAAAAATGGAAAAAGGTTTGAGAGGACAATCCAGTCTGGATTGTGGAGACTTTGTAGGTCCCCCAATGTTACGATGGTCCCAAAGCGGTGACAAAAGAGCTCAGAGTAGCCCACACAGCACTGCCTGCCATTCCTGCAGTCCATAAATGAACACATGATGCTATGACATAGAACACTTGGAAATTTCCCAAACTCACCCGATGTAGTTGAGATGGGCATCAGCCCAGTACAGCTTGTCACAAGCATAGCATACTGTGAGGCCGTTGGGCCAGACCAGTCCTTCGTTGATGATTCTCGTTGGATTACTGCCGTCCATTCCCATTCTGCCAATGTAGGCCCTCAAACCCCAGTCAGTCCAGTACAGGGACCTGAGGATTAGAAATAAATTTTTTTAATACCTTTGATCTATCTTGTTAGAGTGCTGTGGAACCTCGGTTCTGATATTTGACTGACGTGTGATGTTGTGAAGGTTCAAAACCCATAGCATCATGGTGCTTGTGTGCCACAGGCAGGACACCTTACTGGCGCATCTCTCTGTAAAGGAGTATAAATAGGTATCTTTGATGATAGAGAATAGATTGTACAGATCTCAGAAAATGGATCTAATGGCTTAATGTACAAGGGGAAATAATTGTAAGGTGGTCTTACAATGCTTGGTATAAATGCCTACATTAGCACTTTGACACTACCTTCGCATATTCCAGTGGGGAGTTCTTTAATTCTCACTGTTCTATGATGCGACAGCATGACTTACCCATTGCGGGGATCTACGGAAATGGCACGTGGATGTACCATGTCCTGAAAGACAAGTGTCTTCCTGAGTGTGCCGTCCAGCTCTGACACTTCCAGGACGTCACGAGCAGAATCCAGCCAATAGAGTTTCCTGTTGGTTACAAGAAAGAATAATTGAACTAATACAAGACTCACACACCAGTTTGATACTCTGCACTGTGGATTCAAATCTGCATTCAAACCAATCACTTTACCACAAGGCAGATCTGACTTAAGCAGAATCCAAAACTGACTCCCATGAGTGATTTGAAAATTTTACTGTGGCTGACCTTGTGTCACACATCCCACTGTCTTTCAAACACTTTGTTTATTTTACAATGAGCTGGCTCTCAAGGCTTTGCCACAAGAGCAATATTTCCTGTAAGACTCCAACAGACGAGTTAGGGTCCTACAGATCAACCTCCACGCACCTGAGTTTACAAAGCCGATAGTATGGAATTCCATATCTGCCGTCGTGCGTCGCCCGTCGTTTTCTTTTTTTTTTTGTCATGATTGCGCAGTGGTATTTTTAACTTTGACCCTTGATCGTTTCACATGTACATGTCCTTGTTTGATCCATCCACCATGCCTGACTCTCATTTTAGCAATAGAACTAGAAGATGTACATGTATTCGTTTTTGCAGTTGCGCCAAACTCCAATTGAAAGAAGAAATAATATCCTGACATCGGTTAAATAATGTGTCTATGAAATAATACCAACAAAATAGACTTTTGTTAGGGTAGACTGTTTTTCGTGATAACTTAGTTACTCTAGACGTAACTTTACTCGTTAACAGCCTGACTTCAGGTCTTTAGCCTATGTGATATTTCTGTCTGTCTCTG